TTTTTTTCTAGGGATTCAGAGGCAGCGTTTGGCACCCAAAGTGCGACCATGGGAGGCTCGTTTTGGATCAGAATTAGATTGGGAAAAGCTGTGGCGGGACCAGGTGTTCCCACGACCTCCACGACAACGATGGGGCTTCTGGGGTTTGGCCCTCCCCGAGTTGTGTGCTTTTGCAGTAGTGCGGCTACGAGCGCATTGAGAAGTATAAACGCCAGGAGTACAAAGCAAGGCTCGATTGGGGATGACGATTTTGTCTGGTCGTCCGGCACAGAACGCGCCATGTTTTTATGCTGCAACATTCCATGCCTGACAAGAACAAGCCTTGCCGTTGGGTGTGCGGTGTTGGACTTGAATTCGTCCATTGGGCTTGGCTGACAAGACGCGCGCACCACATCGTGGACAAGTGTGCTCGTGTTGGCGACCAGCAACTGCACCGTCCAAGACACGAAATTTGTGGCCGCACTTTCCTCGATGGTGGACTCGGCCAGTTTGGACCCCACTGCGGCATGGACATTTGCAGCGTGGGCAGACGTAGTCATACAGCCTTGTCGGCTCCCCTCTGACCTGATTCCCTGGCTTCGCCTCGGGCACCTCCGGATTGAATGCGTGGCCATGCGTTGGCGCGTGTGGCTGCGCGCTTGACGTGGTTTGTTTTCCTTGTTTGGATTCTGGTTTGGGGTGAGTCTCTGTCGTGGCTTGGCGTTTTGTTTGACGACGACTGTGCGGGACTGTGCTCGGCAGTGGCTCGATGGACGATGTGTGTGGTGCCACGACACTTGTGCTTTGTTTGGGGCGCTTTGCGGCGTTGGCTTCCTGTGCGCCGGAGTCCGTCGGAGCCAGACGTTTGCGTTCGTGGACGTGACTGGCGATGAGGTCTTTGATTTCTTGCAGGATGCGTTCTCGGTGGATTCGTTGGCGCAGCGACGCTACACGCGCGTGGGTCTTGGCGGCGACGCGTTTGCGTTGGACGGTCTGGATGCGTGTAGTGTGACACGCATCGCACACTTGTTTCCCGTTTTCTCCGGAAGAGCGTCGGCGGAGAAAGATGGTGTACTGGTCTCGTTAACCACCTTTTTGTTAAGCGCAGGAACTGATGCTGATACAAAAAAGAATAACCACCTTTTTGTTAAGCTGATACTGATATTCCTGATGCTGCTTGGGTGTCCGCGACAAACATCATGACAATCAGCACCTTGTTTGTCACAGCGCTCCCTTGTGAAAGAAGCCTTTTATTGGCCTATAGTTGCCACCTTTTGCTGTACACTGTAGACTGTACACCGTCAAAAAGACGTGCATCATGTGGTCGATGAGGGTCCATGTAGACGCGCTCCCCGTGGTGAAGATCGACGCATGACATGGTCAAGATGCGTGAAGAGCGATGGATGTGGGGAGGGATCAAACAAACGCGTGTGTATCTCCCGGATCAAAGGCTTATAAAAACAAACAGCCTACAGCCGTGCCATGTCGCAATGAGCAAAGAGGCCATTATGGCTACCTACGCAAAAAAAGCAGGAAGACCTACCAAAGAACTCGGGAAAAGGACGAATAGACTAACACTCGCTGGTTGCGGGCTCTCCCAAATCTATGTCCCTTTTCGATGCAAGGCCAAGGCACTTCCTCTCGGAAGAAGCCATTCAAAGTCGCCACACAGGCCATGGCGAAAGCTGTAAAATAGCCGACCCAGTTGCGCACTGGTCTTCTCCAAGTGGCCCATGTGCAGAATGTTGCTTACCGGTCCTCTCTTCATCCGCTTCATCGCTTCAATTTGTTGGGGTGCTGTATGTTTTTCTGTCCTTTCTCCACGAGCCACCGAGTCGTTTCAGTAACTGGGGAAGTCTCCTGGTCACTCCAGTGAGGTTCTACATTCTTGTTAAACTTTATATCCCATGGCCATATGGGCTTGGCAAATCTCGGCAATGAATGCTGCATCCGAAATTAGACATCACTAAAACCCATTGGATGAGGATCCAACTGGGTAGCACCAATGCGCAAAGAACTATACATGCTGGTACATACAATGCACACCAGCTCGCAAAGTCGCAGACGTGGGCCCACCAGACTGGAGTTCTTGGAACCGGGCGGTGGAAAGAGCCGGTGTGGAGGTTGAGGATGCGAACGTGCCTCTTAACTCTTTGAATCTAGGTCCCAAACGTCCAAGAGGGGCGCCGTCTTTGAGGCGTGAAACAAGTGAAGCCGCCTGAAGGCATTGCTTCTGGACATGATCCACCACTTGGACTGGACTAGGATTCCCATGATTCGCCAAACTGGATTGGAGTCATATCATATATGCTTGGTTTATTCTTATATGGCCTATATGGGCTCCTATCTACACAAACACACCTGCAACATCCTGAACCTAAAGATTCGTGCAGGAGTGTATGTATAAGTAGTGGTTGAATGTTTTTGATAGTGCCCTCAATCTGCAAATCCGTGCAAATCTATCCGTTTGCCACTGGTCTGGCTGCCACTCCTGCATGTTGCATCATGTTGCTATATGCACTTGCACTGTGACCGAAGCCTGCAATTCTCAAGTCTGAGATGTCGCAGCCTTTTTTGGACTGGCGCAGCGTCTGGGCCAAAGTTGCAGAACAGCTCCATAACCACTCCTGCTGTCCCTGAAACAATCCTGGAAGTGGGTGGCATGGCCAACATGGATTTAGAGGACCATCGTCTACAAACAGGTTCACTTCCATGGTGCATGAAGGAAAGTCACCTGAACCATAGCTTTTTGGCGAGTGCAAGCTGCAGTACTCCTCCTCCTTGATGAGTCCCGGGGTCGGCGGCAGGGGCGGCAGCCCTTAAATAGATGATCATACCCTAGGGATCCAAGTACCTTCTCAGGAGGTGATTGGAGACACTCTTATGTAGGTTTTCAGGGTCCAAGTGCCTTCTGAGAAGGTACTTGGATCCCTAGGGATAGATGTCTATTGTACTGTTTGTTCACATGTCATACATCTGTTCATCTCCAAAAAATGCCTTATACAGTACGTTGGTTTTCATGTCCTGTCGTCTCGCTTCTCCTTTCGCTTCTCCTTTCGGCTTGAGCTCCGAGCACCGGCCGTGACGCTGAGATCATCCAGCGTCCATGCCTGGCCGTGCACAGCACGGCGTCTGGTGGTGAGAAGAGATGAGCAACTCGGATGGTGTGAGGGGAGCAGAAGGAGACAACACTAGCTAGCTGCGACTGTGCTGCGACCAGCCTTTTTCAGCAAAGCTCGCTGCACTAACAGTCGGACTGAAGTGGTTGACAGAGAGACAGTTCCGAAGATTTTTCCGAATCGTGCTCCAAAAGAAACTCGGTTGGAGGGTATATAATACAACCACCCATTTCGTGAGCAATGCAGCACGAGATCTGCTGCAAGATCTAATCAGTGCTCTTCTGTGCCATGTTCTGCCGATGCCTTCAAGCACCACACCAAACCACCCGTGCGGCGACCCAAGGACCCGTGCGGCGGCCTGTTCCTCGGCCGCGTGGCCGGGAGGCACATAGCGCAGCAGCTCCGAAAATCCGCTCAGCCTCTGAGACCACGCGGATGGACGCGGAAGCGTCGTCGGCCGTGCGGCCGGGGAAATCCCGTATAGTCCCAGCTGATCCGACGACCACCGCGTAAGACGAACACGAGAAAACTGAAAGTTATATAGCAGGTTTTTTGGTGGTATTCCGTAATGATTCCATGGGTTTTCATCAGGACTGGTGTACTCTTCGTAGATTCAAGAGGATGGATGGATGTTCCAAACATTTGCCGGCCGTAGGCGGACCGGGCACAGCCCCTTCTTTTCTGGTCTCTTCTCCCCGGTAAATCTGAATTCGTGACCTTAATTGTGACATGAATCCCAACCTGAGCTTCAAGCAAACCTGAACCAGGACCTTCTAAGAGGTGTCTGTATATTGCCGCATTAAGTAATTTGCCTCTTAGAGGTGACTCAAGGTGTCCCAAGACCCCTGAAGTATCCACGCGACAAAAAGATACGTCGGTGAACGGAACCAGAACACCGGCTCAGTCGGTCTCATGGCCAACGAGGCACAGTCGGAAGATGTAGCAAAGCTGCTCCTCTGCGTTCAACGCGCAACGAATACGAACCAACAACACCTGTTCAACGGCATGCCATCAACCTTCAGCTTCAGCCCCTCAAACAGCTTTGCCTGGCCTCTTCTGACATGGCCTCTTCCTGGGAGCGAGCGTTTTCAAACGCTCAAGCTCAGCCAACAGGCTACGCTGACAGCTAGAAAAACCCTTCCAATTGCCGAAAACACAGAAAAGAAAAGGCCTTGTGGGTGCATGTTGGGCGGAATTCAGGACAAAGTGCCGGCAGTGGAATTCCTTTGAAGGCACCTCTCTTCTGACCTTCAGCACCAGAACATCACGCTTCTTTTCAGGTGCGCACAAAATTGCAAATTTCTGGCATCTTCTGTCCTGTGCCTTGACAAAAGCAAAAGAGTGGCGGTGGTACATCCTTCCGTTCGTCGGGCAAACTGCCCAGGCAGATCGAAAGGGATTCAAGTGAGTGGGCGGTTGGGCGCTCTCGGTCGTATGTGGATGTGTGGAGGAGAGAAACCACCTCACTCAGCACAAGGCCGTTGATTCCATTTCTCTGAAGTTGCTTGAAGTTGGAGCCGAATCCAACATGTCATGTTGTGTGCAGCCTCGCAGTCTGTTGGAGAAAGGACTGCGAGGCTGAAGTTTCAAGGTCTTCGGTCCATAGACTGTTGAAAGAGTTTTCTAGGAGGGTTCTGACTCTGACTCGGGGAACAGAATTTCCATGCACTTCGCCTGACACATCTCATCCATTTTCGTCACATCTGATTTTATATGTCGCTTCAGTGCATCAGTGACAACTTGAACGACATTGGTACAGCATCTCTATTTAACAGTTTAGCCCTGGGGAAAAAAAAACACAACATAACATAACATAACCTCCCACTGGGGGGCACTGGCAGTCGTGACCCCCCGCCCCATGCCGCCCCATGCCGACCTCTCCTGGCGGCGACCTGCAAGGAGAGGCGCCTGAGGCTTCTTCATCTCTTCCAGGGCAACCACAAACTCGAGCCTGCGGAAGGCCGAGATCTGTTTTTGGACGAGGAGACGCCTTGGGAGGACCATCTGGGCGGAAGACGCCGTGGGGTATCAAAGCCTATATGTTGTTCCAAGTGTGAGATCTTCTGTGCTTGAAATCAGCTGACTGTCCTGGGCATGTCAAGCATAGCTGCCAGGATAGGAACCAAGATCTGCGCCAGGCACTCCACGAGCGGCTCAAAGTCTCTCATCACCTTTCGGCTGCGGCCCTAGAAGCCGGCCGCGTCCACGGGTGAACCGGAAAAAAACCCATACGATCTGATCCGCCCTGCTAGCTACCTGGCCTCTGACCGGTCCACCGACACTGCCTGCCTCATCCGTTGTCAGAAGTCGGAGCTCTGCACTGGTCGCATCATGCTCAACCAAGCGGAAGAGCAAAGCCTGTGGGGAGCCATCCTGCACGCACTGACGGTCGGAACCCCCATGTTGTGGCCTCCGTATACCAAAAACCTCTTCACAGGCACCATGTATCCTCACGTCGTCAAAAACCTCCTGTGATACCAACCGGAGAGTCGTAGAGTGTATACGTGCCCGCCGTCTCCCGTCCCCTCTCCTTCTCGGTGGCCTGAAGTGCTCGGACCGTGTCCTCCTGTGCCACTCCGCGAGACCTCCAAGGCGACAAGGCGCTCCCCAGCGCCGCGAAGCCGTTGCAGCGGCCCAGCCTCGGGAGGGTGTCTCGGGTGGATGAGGTCGGCCACCACGGGGGGGGAAACGCCATTGAGCCTTGATGGACCAAACCCCAAACATAGAAGATATACTGGAAAGGTGTGGATGCAGATGAAATGATATGTTCCATACATGGAGTGTCTAGGTTAGTAACTAAACTCATTAAACCATTTAGTAATCAATCAATCAATATCAATATCAATATCAATATCAATATCAATATCAATATCAATCAATCATGATGATGATGATCATCATCATGTTCATGATCATGATCATGATCATCACCATCATCATCATCATCACCAACATCATTGTCATCAAATCAGGGTCGAACAGTTCTAAGACCCGCTTCTGAGCCACCAACGGCGTTTGAGCCTGGAGCTCACACTGCTTCTCATCCTGCATTCTTCATCGGCCAAACAATACATTTGGTGGTTGTAGGCTATATTCCCTACAGATCCAAGTACCTTCTCAGAAGAGTCCAAGGACCTTCTGAGAAGGTACGACTGGATCCCTAGAGATTAGCCTTTGGGAGATTGACGGAACATCGGCAAAAGCCGGGAAAAGCAGTGGCTTTCGCCTCAGCAGTACATTTCGGATGCCAGCCTCGTGGGCCCGGCTTGCTGCACTCATCATGTGGCGGGTGTAGTCAACCACATTCTCGTCCTGCCAAACACACACAGTGTGTATGTGTGTTTCTTCTCCGCCACGCCAAACAAATTGACATGTCGTCTGACCATCATCTCCTCCTGCTGCCTCATGTCCTCGGGATCACGTGATCTCCCACGACGACTCACCCCCGAAGAGCAACAAGTTGAAGACCGGAACGCTCGAACGTTTCTGAGCTGAGCGCGACGTACAAGGCCCCAGAATCGATCAAGAAAGCCTCAATGTCCATGCGGGAAAAGTTGGATGAAGTTGGAGAAAAATGACAACCACTTACTAGTCCCAAGCATCAAGTCATTAGTTCAGAGTCACCAACATACCAGGGCCACCTCCCCCTTCGGAGTGTCTATTGACCACCCAATTCCCGCGCCGTTTTTCTGGCCTGGTAGGAGCCTGCCACGTCGTCCAGCATAGCCAGCAATCCATGGTCTGTTACCAGGATGCTGGCCAAACCTGAGACAAAGCGCTCCACAAAGCTGAGCATATTTGGCAGAAGTAGCATGAAGTAGCAATGTGCAGTGTGCAGAAGTCAGAAGTGTAGAAATCAAAACACCAATTTTAAGTTTTGTTGTATAAGAACAAAGTCAGGCCAGACAAGCATCGCCTTTTTTTTAATTTCAAATTCGATAGATACTTCGATAGATTAATTGCAAAAACACCCAACCCGCGCAGTTTTGTGCCGGACTTGCCAAACTGGGATTTGGGCTCAGGTTTCGTACACTTTCTTCTGCTAGACCAAGTATGTCCTGTCCAACGGCTCAGGCTGTGACTTCGACTGTTCCCTTCCCACCGACCGCTGGAAAGAAGACGCTTCCGGGCACCGGTCGCATCGGGTGGCGCGTGGACATGCAAGAAAGTCCAAGAGAAGGTCAGTTTGAACTCCTTTAACTTTAACACTTAACTTAAGCTATATTGTTAACAGTTCTGCACTCCTGATCAGTCACTCAGACTACACTGTATTCAAGAACGACCGTTCCGAAGCGAAAAGCAAAAAGCGTTTCGCGAAGCTCGCCGCTTCACCGAAGCGACCGCCGCCACGCCGTCGGAACGCGCCGCAGTGGGCCCGCGCTCCACGCAGTTCCTCCGTCTCCTCGTCGTAGACGGGAAATCGAACCTGACGGTCCCGTACGGACGGCGAAGACGACTGAAGCCCGACGACCGGTTGACCCGTTGATCTCGACCGGTTGTCCCGTTGGTGTTCAATGTTTTTTTTTTTTTTTTTTTTCGGATCTGAGCTGGGATACACCAGAGGATTTTGAAACAAACGTGCATATATTGAAAGTAAACATCAATCTGGCCATTGTTGCCCTGTCAACGAGAGGGGGATAACCTCAGGCTGGCTCAAACTTGAGACCCAGCGCTTTCATGTGCTAGTTAGGTCAGGAATTGTTAGGTCAACACGCCGGTTTTCTCCACTGCAAACGAGCAACCCAAGCGCTGGCTAAGTATGCAGCTGCTGTGGAAAGGGGACATCCTGGGATGACTGACTATAGAGTGAGTCATGACTCATCACACAAGTCCACAGAACTCCACATGCTCCGCACAAGTCACAAGTCGGAGCCGTTCCGAACGGTGACCTCTTTCCGGATCTCCACTCGGATCTGTGAGGTCCCCGCTGTCCGATGGATTCAGCAAAAAACCCACGCTGGCGCCCAAGATCGCCTTGGCTAAAGAAGGGAGAAGCAACAAAAAACACACCAATAAGGCCCTATATAGGGCTCCCATCGCTAACTAGGAGCAAGGACTACTAGGGGCTCCTGGTCTTGCTAGTAGGAACAAGAAGCTACGAACGGGGCTCCTGGCATCGCTAACTAGGAGCAAGGACGGTACTAGGGGCTCCTGGCCTTACTACTAAGGAATAAACAAAGAAAGATAACATGGGAGAATGTCAGTGCCGGTGGATGACGGAAGCTTGACTCATCATGACTCATGGCTGGCAAGCTGTCCTCGTGGACCTTCTGGTGACGTACATGCTTCAAGAGAGTCGCTTCAAAGGAATCCTCGGTATCCTTCGGACAGGACCAAAACGTGCAAAATAGATTCAGCAAAAGGCTTTAAAAAACACACACAAGGTGACCCGGTGTCTTCTTCTGTTTCTTTTCTTGCGTTCATCAAGCCTCGCAGCCCGGGACTGCCGCTGCCTCCGCTTGTGCCTTTTGGTATTCGATGTTCAGAGTGTTCCGGCACCGAAACCCAAAGAACACCGAAACACAAGACACAAAAGCCTGCCTGCGCTCGCTTTTGGAGCAGCCGCAACAACCGGAACACCGGCCAACCACTGCGCACCACCGTGGGCCAAGGGAAACGACGCCAATTGAGATCTAACAGGCCTTCCTCCTGGGCGTCAGGCCAAAGAAACGAAGGAGCAGAAGCAAATCCGCTCCACTGATGGAGACTTGAAACACCTCACCTCACGAGATATTCTTGCGTTGCGAACGGACAGAAAGAACATGGACAGAAAGCCACATGGAGTCTAAATGCCGTCAGGACTCATTCCAAATTCCATCAAATGGTCCTGGGCTGTAGGCAACATCGAACCCTTCTGGATGTATAACCATAGGCCCCACCTGGATGTGTAAGCAGCAGGAGGAGATCCAACGAAATGCGCCCAGGAAGGCAATCCAAGTGCTCGTTGCTCTGGTTGTTCTGGTCGCTCTCCTTTTGGGCCGCCCTGCCAGTCGTTGTTCCCCACGCGCGCGCGCGTATTTCCAATCCAACTCCGATCCGAAGACCCCCAAACCTCTCGGCCTCAAAGACTCCGAGACTCGATCCAGTTCGGCCCCCAGCACGTTGGCTCCCACCTGCCGTCGCTGCCCGAGACCGTGGCTCTTCGGTCTTGTGACCGGACACCCGGACGGACCGAAGGACCGAAGGACCGGGGCCAGTCATCGCAACAATCCCTCGCACCCGAGAAGCCGCGGTGGGACGGGGTATCGATTGACCATTTCTCCCTATACGTAATATAATGGTCTTCGGTCGTGAATGGGGGAGTGATTGATGCTGCGCATTTAATCTGCTGTATGAAAGGGGAGTGAATGGCAAATCCATGAGGCATGAGGGGGTACAATGTACAGTATACTGCAAATCATATGATTTAACATGAAAGCAAAACATGATAGAAACTTGAAATCCCAGGTGGGAGTGACTGACTAAAGTCACTCCTTTCAGGATTTCCCGGGCCTGTCCATCCAACAGGCGTAGGAGCTGTCGGTGAACCGCAGGCCAATCCTCATGCAGTCGGCCGTTCTCAGTACTGCAGGTATACTACGGGAAGGTGGACTGAAGACACAGCCTCTTCAATCAGGTGGATCCACCGTTCTGATTCAAAAAAGAAGACGACTCCCAAACTCCCAGACCTATTCTCGCACACTCTCAGATGGTTCAAGCCTGAAAGCGCTCGTTTAGAGCGATGGCCTCCAACACGTCCCCCTACCGCCCTTCACGCCCCTCCCATGCACCCGAAAGGCCCGCGCCTCTGACCCAGTGGCCTCACAGGCCAACGTGTCAGCGCCAAAGACACACCTCGGACCCGGTGGAGTTGGTTCACCGACAGTCAGTATGTAGTTCATGAAGAAGTCTGCACACAGTCGGAGTTGATGAAGGATGGAGATGTCCGACCCCGACTTTGTGATGTGTCGCATCTAAAAAAAAACATGCTTCCTTTGAATTCAGCAAGAGGTGCTCACCCACTCTATAAACTGCAAAAAAAAAACATGCACACTTTGCCCCGTCCATCCGGTGGCAAACCGAATGAAGCGGCCTGCTCAGGGCGGCCACTTGGAGAAGACCCAGCGCCACGCGCGTGGCTCGGCCCATGGCGGACATCGACCACCCCACTGGAGCCGGAGATGTTGCCGTTCGCACCACATCCACATCGAAACATGGGAGACATGATGTCACGCGTGAAAAAGACATCGGTCTGTATCCTTTGATTAATAAAAAAGGGGAGAGCACAATCAAACAGCACATGTCTTGATATAATCCAACAGCTGCACATGCGATGTCATCCCATCCGCTGCACATGCGGCCCTGGGCCGCCTTTTTCTTCGATGTTCCCCTTGACGGACAAGCAGGTGGGATTCTCGCCTAAAGTGGCTGACAGGTCACGTGAATGTGGCATCAACTGCTGAGTACGATTCCCTGCGGATGAAGGAAAATCCCCAACAGTGCGAACAAGAAGAATCGATGCGACTCAAGGCCGCTGTACATCCACAAGTCCGAACATCCACATGACTTGCCAGCTGCTCAGTTTGAGCGGAACAGACTTCTAAGTCGCATTTGTTGAGTTGCCTAACTGGGCCTTCTTTAGGCCAATCTCGCAACGATGCTGCAGCCGAATCTGGCTCGAATGACCAGCCGTGAGCCGTAACTAACTTCAACGTTGCATTCAAACGTTCAACTGGCCATTCGATTGCGGCGAAACTAAGAGTTGATGGATATATCACAGGTTCTCAGCGAAATTTGATGATGATTGCACTGCAATTGTCTCCACCTTGCGAGCGTGCTGTTTCTTTCTCCAACAGACATCATGACATCAGCATCGTTTTCGGGTATGATATGAACACTTCAGCGGCTCGGAACGAATAAAACCACCTGTGACTTGGAGAGAAAACATCCAGTGCCAACATGTGCCAAAAGGGTCGCTCACTTCAAGCGAACATGTTATGTATCTCACCCCATGTCATCCATGTCTATTGTTGGTTCACCATCCCCGGTCGCAGTATGTTGGAACCACCAGAAAGTGCCACATCCCCGGTGCTCCGGCACCGTGCTCCGACACCGTGCCACCTCCACCGTGCTCGAGCCTTTCCCTCGGGTCTTCACCAGGTTGGGGCTACAGCTCTGGTCGACCAGCTGTTCGGCCGCCTGGAGATCGCGAAAATAACATGTCGACACTCAGGCTGGTTGAAGGCCATGAAATCATTCCGAAGATCGCACAAATCGGTCAACACCTGTCAAAACAGCCTCGTGGTTACACTAAGCAACGCTTTCATCTATTTTTGGTTCATAATATTCAAAACGGCATATGATTTATATCGTCTTAGAAGTGGAAACTCCTCCGTCCTAGCTGTGCTCCTCGGATCTAGCATCTCGATCGCTGCGCAGCCGTCCCAGCGGTCCGGGACCTTTCCACCGCACCCACCTGCTTCACATCGAAACCGGCTCTCAAGGCCACGCTCACAATGTCCACCACATTCTGCGGAGGACTTCTACCGGACCCGGTCGGTTGGTCGGTGAACTTCGTCGGAGCGGAAGTGGAAGTCGACGGAAGCGGAACGCCACGGCGACGTGTCATGCGTTGGGAGCCTCCAATCTACGGACGTGGAGAAACAAGAACAACGTCGATGTGCTCGAGACGTCTGAGATCACGACGTGGCAGCTATATGGTGAAAATTAAAACAATTCCTTAAAACAAGATCGACTGATATCACTGATACGACAGTTAGGTGCCATCTTGTAAAACAAAGATCAAGATCGTCCAAGTTCGCCCAACATATCCGCCCAAAAATTCCCCTCCATCGTGTCTTGCGGTGCAGTGTCAGCGCGTTCGCGTTCGTCTTCGCCTGCGAGGTGTGAAGTTCAAAGCAGCCATCGCAGGCCAAAACCTCCGCAAGGCGGGCCGTCTGGCGAGGTTTTTGTCCACACCGGGCATGAATCACCGGGCAAATCATTGGAAGTGACGATTCAAAAGAAACAGGAAACAGCAGGATGAACAGGACTAGTAACTATAGGCATGTTAAATCAGCAAAGGTTTTTAGTGGTACCTCTGAACTCTGAACTGTAATATCCGATTTACTCGGATCTATTCCTCTATATTATGACTCTATAGCTCTACTCCCTGAGTCTGCTGAGATCTGCTGAGGACCCTCACGAGGAACTCGTCATCGTCATGTAGCTGCACCGTCCGGATCTGGGCGGTGCAGGGCGGTGGGACCAACAGCAGAAAGGCCAGGAGTCACGTCTGACGGGGTGCCGAACGACTGGAGGAAGTCGGGGTGCCCCTGTCACATCCACTCACTGTATGGGACGAACAACCACCCCAGCCTGTGTGACTCCTGGTGAAGAACTACACTTAAAACACCGGATCACCATGAAAGGTGGCTTAAGATAAGATTTAGGTCACGCGGCTCCATGTCTTCACCATTCACCAATTATTGAGAAGCTGAAAAAAAAGAGTTGCCGGCTCCCATGGAATGATCCGCCATAACCATCTCTGCTCCAAGATTCTTCCGGCACGGCAATGACCTTCTGCTCCTCTGCACTCAAGTCTCCACGTGCCTGGCAACGAGCAAAAGCTGAAAGAATGGAGCCAGAATTCGAGTCGCACGTCGCAGTGTCTTGAACATCATACCACCCGAAGACTTGCATGTATGGAGCATCTACCAGGGGTCATATGTCATAGATGGTCATCATAGATTTTTGTCCATCTACGTTGAGTGTCGAGGTCATCTAATGTCATTCTATAAGCCAATTCGTCTTTGCTCGCACGCGTCGAAGCATGGCAAGACCCCCCTGGAAAACCGTCCGTTCCCCCAAACACAGCGTCGTGACCGCCTTGTAGTGAAAGTCGCCCAGGGCTCTGGACAAGTTGAGACCCCAACCATCGATGCGATGGCAGGGGCCGATCAACTTCACCGAGCCGCCCGCCAGCCTTGGGGGTCATGGTCCGATCAAATGGACCCACGCACACAGGGTGTGCACGTTCCGGTGACGTTCCGGTGACGAAAATGGAGGAGATGATCATAGGAGGAGCCCGAAGTAAGCGGGAAGGCGCTGGTCCAGAGTTTTTTTGGATCGAACGGTGCTTGCTCCATGGACTCTTGGATTGTCCATGGTTCGGTACCTGCCGTGAAGTGCCCCAGGATGTTGGAAAACGCAAAAAGGTGGGGACACGTTCAACAAACACTCCAACGGTGTTGCCGTCCCTTTTCGTCCTAAGCCAACGCACGAAGCCAACGCATGCCAACGCCAGAAGCGAAAAGCACACCGTGCGGCCTGATGCGCTGTTCCTCGCTGGCGAGCTCTGGTTTGTGATCCTGCGCTCGAGTTCAAGGCTTTTTTCGTTGTGGATTCATGCGAAGCAATGCGAAGCACAAGCTCCAGCTAGTGGGAAATGTCGAGATTCCTATCTCAATTCGCTCATTTCGCCAACATTTCACCATTTGACCTTCTTAAGGCCTTCATCACCCTTTATCCTTTATCCACCTTAGCTGTGCATTTCGTGAACACCAATCCCACGTGATGTTCACAGCACTGGGTTCGGGGTCAAACCGGAGACGTGACGTTCACAGCATCAAGTCAGTCCTCAGAGAGCTCGATCGCCTGCTGCTGGTGGTTTGTGGTGCAAAATCAATTATCAGGTCAGGTAGAAGGAAAGTTTGTTGCGGAAATCCTCCATAGAAAGGTTGAAGCAACAAATCGTCATACCAGAATTGTCAGCATTGTCAAGGCACTCGCTGCACATGATAGTGTATTGAAGGTACTGACTGCATTAACTGTTTGTTCAAGAAAGGAGAGACGTAGAGAAAGTCATCGAAAGCAGGACTCTTTCACAACTACACGCTTTCTCGTGAGAATCACAGAAGTGGCGTGATTCGTTTCCGCCGTCGCATTCGTTGCCTTGCCATTTCGACAAAGAACAGCTCTGGAATCTCCGCAGTTCGCAACGGTCACGCTTCGCTTGAGGCCTTGACCAGGTGCAAGAGTCGTTTCTTTGCGAGCTTTCAGAGGTCTTTAACCGCGTGAAGGTGCACAAGAGTCCAACCAAAAGGAAACCACATGTCACATATATCCACTAGCCTTCCAAGACCTTTAAAAGTGACCTGTAGTTGTAGTTGTAGTTGTAGTAGCAGCAGCAGTAGTAGTTGTTGTTGTTGTGGTTGTGATCGTTCGCAAACAGAATGGTTGTTCGGTAGTCAGACCATTGAATCTGTTGGAAGCCTGGGGTATCTATATCTCACTTTTGTTCGCACTTCATGAGCCGGTCTAATATAGCCAGTACTCTTCTGTAACTGTATACATACATGTTATACAGTCAAAAACACATCACTGTTGAGCCATCACCCGGAAGGTCCACCCACGCCTCTCCTCTTCACTCCCCTGGAGCCTGTATCGACCAAAGCGACGATGGCCGTGCTGCCTGACCGCTGGCGACACGCGCACCGTGAGTTCGGGCGCGTGACGGGTGGCCGTGCCCGGATTTTGTGACGTGAATCAACCCCCTCTGATGTTCATTAGAAGATATTAGAAGATTCAAAGAAGGTTCAGTTCTTGGAAAGGCTGTAAACACAACGATGTGATGCAGCTATGATTCGCCAAATGCAGCTATATGATAGCTATATTCGGCTATATGGTTATAACTATACCAGGTAATTAGTAGTACGTGCTTCCAAATAACGTCGTCCAACTCGCCGCTCTCGGTTCCTGCGGCAAACAGGCTGCACCGCAAAAACGCGTGGAGAACTGGGTCACCCCACCGATGAGATTGAAGGCGTTCCTTTGGCTGTTCGCCTGTGACGTGCCGGACGTGTGAGTGAGCCGCCGCATGTGTTGGCCGGCATCTCTCAGAAATCAGAATGCTCAAAAAGGAACCATAATGTAGACTCTTGATGAATAAACACTCCAGACAGCGCCGGAAGTGGCAGGACTTGCAAACAAAATGCACCCGTCGCCAATCGGAAACACTCCAGACATAGATTGTATATAGCTAGTATAGAACCTTATCTTATATGGGGTTGAAATATAAAAGAGTCAATAAATCTTGACTCCCCAACTTGCACTCACTTCTTTCTTCCACACCAAGACGTGGCTGCCGATGGCGAAAGCCGCGTTTCGCCCTCTGTGAAACGCACGGCTCCAGCGGCTCCAGCGGCCACGCAGGCCGCGGCCCCTTCGGCTTCAGCTGATCTTTAGACCAGGCCTCTCCAGGTTTGGAGTCGACGTCTCAAACGTCTCGAAGACGTGTTAGGAATCGAGACACGTCGAAAATGAGAATATGGGACACAAGTGAGGGAATGTGGGAATATGGGATGACGTGTTGGGAATCAATCACGGCATGACAAGTCGAAATATGGGACGATTCATCAGTCTTGAGGGAATCAATATATGAATCAATGACCAAGTCAAGTGAAAACCGGACCCGGTTTTAGAAGAAATGCCCACATATCAGGCGAACAGCCTGCTTGACGAATCAGGAACCCCAATCTCCTTTGGACGTCAAGAAGCCTCCCCAAATGGAACCCAACATCCAAATGTCCAGACCAAGTCGTTTGGGGGTGGATCAAAAACCCAAGCAAACCGGCCTCTTCTTGCTTCGCTTCAAGCGCAAGTTGTTGATCTTGATAATCATCTTGCGGTGCTGCCGCAGGAAGCGCTGGTAATCACTCAGCGTCGCCTGGCGACCGCGTCACGACCGGTGGGACTGAAGGTGACGAACACGACGGCGCCTCTTCAATATTGACCCCATGGACGAACATGAGAGTGAGGTCCTCAGCCAACGGCCAAAGCCTTGATTCCAAGTCCATTTCAGCCTGCTTCCAGTGCCAAGAGTCGCCATAGTGCTTGGGAGGCGTCTCCAATTTCCAAAGCCAATTCGGATACCTTGGGCGGACGACTTTGGCGAGTTCTGTGAGTCTCCCGCCCGCCACACGAAGCATCGCCAGAGGCCCGCCATCTTAAGCGAAGCGAATGGGAGTCTTGTTAATCTGGTTAGGCCAAGTACACCCCCCTGGTCTCATCACAGGCATCTGGTCGTCCTTCCCCATTGCCTGGACCAATAAACATCCTTGAAGGACCAGTGACCAGCTATCTGGCTTGATCTCTTCATCCGGCCTTTCCGCGAAGATATTGAAGACCTGCGACTCCAATGACTGGTAAAACTGGTCAAAACCGAACATCAACAAAACAAGAAGAACAATGACGTGGTCATTGTATATAGTGTTGTATTACTTCGGCAGAAATGCAACAAATAACATCCTCATCCACTTATCCATGGGCCCTCCGGTTCCGCGCGGAAGTCCAAAGACTGGCTGTGACTGTGACTGCAACCACTGCTGGTCACAAGGACATGCAGACTCGACTCGAAACCCATTCGAAACCCAGAACTCCTATAGTCAACTTCATCACCCTACATGCAATAATACCTCATGAAAGACACATGACAAATGCTTTCTCCACATGCCCTCCTAGTGCACCATCTCCCCATCTCACGGTGGCTCTGGCTGTTTCGGCCTGGCCAGCTCCAGCTGGTCCACTGGGCACCGCGGACTCTGCTGCGCCCTTGGGCGCGCCCTTCGCAGCCTTCGCGGCCTGGGCACCAAGAGCCGAAGGAAAAAGAACGATGAAGACAAGATAGGTGAAGATAACTTGGAGATACGTGAAATTGGTTCCGCAGGTCAATAGATGTTAGACGTTGGACCTGTTATGATCTTTTCACCATGTCTGTTTATTTTTTTTAGGTTGTTCTCTTTTTCAACTGACAGACTGTGACTGTTGGGAGGGATATGTGATATGAGTATCAGTATAAGAGTCCAATGATGAAAACCTTGCCGAGGATTCCAACGGCCCTTTTACCAGTGACTTTCACCGGTTTAGAAGGGTCAGCTTGGACCAAACCATCTGCAGTCGGAGCGAAATCAGAACGAAAGACCCCAGCGAAATACGTCTTTACAAAGACCCCAGTCGGCCGTGTCTGAAATAAGCTTCGTCGCATGAATAGATAGACGTCTTCCTTTTCCCGTAGATAGACGGTCGGAGATATCAAAAAGTGGACAACCGGTTCATCTGTATGCAGCCTTGCTGCAGACTTGTGCAGTCCAAATTTCAGCCGGCCCATGGCAAAGACACGAAAGAAACCCCTTCCCCGCAAACCACAAGACTTTATTGATAACCGGCCTATTGATAACCACCAAAAGATAGATTCTTGTCATGAACTCCATTGAAACATGTTGGAAAACCATTTGGCAGTGGGTCAAAACATGTCAAAACCATAATAAACTTGCTTGACCTACCTGGAAGGTCTTGTCTTGTCTTTCGCAACAGCTACATGCTGCTCCTTTGAGTCTCCAGGTTGAACCCACAGCCATTTCGTTCTTTCCGATCTGCTGCCGCGACACTTTCTTTGGCCCTAATCTCATCGCCTCAGCGGTCGACGCGCTCGACGCAAAGCTCCAAGGCGCTGGTCGACGCGGCGCGCGGAGCCTCGGCTCTGAGGCTCTGACGGGGACGTGCAGGAAGCGACCGAGGGGAGATGCCACGATGCCACGCGCGAGAGAAGAGAAAGCAAGCCTGAGGGCCGCTGAGGCCGTGGAGGGAAGACGTCCAACGTTAACATGTTTACATCTCTCACGGTAAATGACACTCAGATACACTCAGACTGAAAAGTTTATTAAAAATAGTCTCAAAACATGTTGAAATCTTTGGCGTGAGGAATCTGTTGATCTCCCTTTTCAACAGGGATCCAACTGGAGATCTTTGTAGCCTGTCTAGTCTGATTGACTCCAAAATACGTTCACTTTTTGTTGACGCAACATCTCTGAGGAGATGAACTGGCGTGCCATCTTCGTCAGAGCTAAGCAAGCAAGTTCATGGCCATCGACCGCCGTCGCTGTTGCATCCAATGAACCAAAACAATTCTGCGCTGTGTTGTTTTGCATCACTTGTCACTTGGCCAAGGACAATTGAAAAGCAACACTTTGATGAAACGAACTCATGAAGAATGAAATTGGTTGCTATTAACTACGTATAAATTGTGTAATATTTGCAATCTGGACTCATGCCACATGGTTTGTTTTTGGAGCCAGAACGGCTACATCCCGCAAATCGCCAGACAGGGACCCCTGTCCAGGCGTCACCCCGCCACCCGTGTCGAGGTGTGCGACGGCTCGGCTTGGCCTCGAGGTGTCTCGCCATCATTCCCAAAGGACCTTGGGCGTCGTTCCGCTGTTCCACCACGGAGGTTCGGAGGGTTCGGAGTTGGATCGCAGGGAAAAGATGGATGTTGGGGGTCAACATAGTAAGGCCAAAAAGCAGCTCGTTCATTGAAGAGCTCCCAGTGAACAAAAATGACTTGCACCAGCTTAGGGGTATCAAAAAAGAGTGTCCTTCATTGTCTTTTTCATTCTTTCTCCCTATAACCACCGGTCTGCCTGGCTGGAGGTGCCTAATTGCTTCAAGACGGCAATTTTCTTGATACGCTTGAATCTGGCCAGCTGAGCCCCACACTTGACAAAGGAAGGCCATTCCGTTTGGAATTGACACTGTTCCCCAACTGGCGCGATCGATATGGCCAAGCAAAAAAAGAGCTCCAATCAATTCAAGTAGTCGAAACAGTCCCATCGAAGACTGTTCACTGGTTTGTGAAGATGAAAAGAAGCGTTGTGAAGTCCTGTCTGCTTTTTGCTCTGCATGGTTGTGAGTCAAGCCCCCATAGAAACGACATGCACATCCCCAGCAGAGCTGCATACCCATCATTTGTTATGTCAAGCCTGGCTTGGGTCCCATCCTTGCCTGCCGTAAGAAGGCATCCATTGCAATCATGCTCATGGACAAAGCCTGGCGTCTGGGCTCTGCCGTCTTGACTCAAGCTCTTCGCGAAAATCCATGTGTGCCGCTTCGTCGACTGATATCACTGACATCAAGGTCGTCTTGATTCCAAACCAAATGGTTCCCACCGGTAATTACAGCCCTCGAGTCACCTTTTGGTCACTGCCCCGCTTCGATGTCACTGGTGATCACTGGTGGCTCCGCTCGTTCGGCCTTGCCGCAAAGGCCACCCGCGGCTTTCAACGCAATGTCGGCCTCTCTCGTGCGGCGACGGACCAGGAGACCCCAACGATGTTTTTGGGACCCTGTTCGGGGTGGTTCGTAGACAACCTTACCGCCAAATTGGCACCCCTAAAGATCTCCTGGTACACACTCCCTGACATATTCCAGTGGACTTCACCACCTGTTTGCTCTTTGGATTGAACGCGGTCATCCGGTCATCCGGTCGGGCCATGTTCCATCGTCCGTCACCGGAGACTCGGCTGACTCGGCTGAGACTCGGCGCAGGCGCCTCAACACCGTTGGTAGACCTTGGTCGGTCGGTGAGGTCGTCCAGTCGAAAGCCAGTCGAGCGTGGTGGCGTGATTAAATCACTGAACAAGAGTTGCGTCACAAAATGCCTGGAATGGCCTGGAAGGGGGCCGAAACCAAGCAATATAATAGATTCATCGAGCCAGATATGGACACGCTGTTGTGATCTCTTGGAGTAAAAGGCACCCACTTTCTCAAGAACACCAGCTGCACAAGTGCCGGCGTCTTGGGGTCCAGCTTGTCATCTTCCTTTCCATCCTGCGTGGAAGAAATGGACGAACGACCCACCGATATGCAGGGGCGCGAGGGGAAGGAAGCCTCATTGACCTCCGCATGGCCCGCGCAAGTCGAAAATCCGAGGAAGAAGGACGTGCAGAAATTTTCTGGCTCTTCAACACCAACACACTTCAAGATCCAATCTCTCCGAACACCAAAGCCACCAAATGAGGAAGGGGCCAGGCGAGGCCAAGAGAGGCCAGGCGGCATTCTCGGGGATGCGGGAGACGGACTTTCTCTCCTCTGCTTTGGGTTTGGAACTGCTAGAGCTGCCAGGGGTGCATGGCCTGGGCGCAAAGGACCAGAGTCGCGTGCAACGTGTTTGCAGGGAGTTCGTTTCACCATTTCATGTTGAGACCGCATGTGACCCCCCGTCGTCGGCGCCCGTCGTTCCCCGCGTGTAAACAGATAACTGTTTGTCTTGCCCTCGGTTCACCTCCCAAGTACCCAGCGGCTACTGCTCTCTCGCTCCATCTCCCCTCGACCGCTCTAACTTAGAGCGCGCGGAGTCCGGCGACTTTTTCTGGGGCTCTCCAGCGAGAGTTCTCCTGGCAAAAGCTCGGTGTTGGGCTCCTGAGCGGCCAGCGCAGCAGTCGCGCGCGAGGTCGCGCCCTCGGTGGATCCGGGGTGTTCTCCGCACGTCAGCAGTGCTGCAGTGTTGTTTTGTCGGATCCAAAGAGGATCTATAGATGACGTGCATTCCAATAGAACGATAGGTTTGGAAAATGAAACTCTCGAAACTGGAGTGGAAGCCAGAGGAGGAGGCACTTTGCAATCAAAAGCCTTTATTGCAAGATTTGAAAGACTGCCAGGGACAGGTGTGGAAGAAAAGTACTGGTGTGATAATGAGTTGGTTGAGCTTCGTCAAGCTATGTCTATTACTAATACCCTCCTTGCGAATCAAATCTTGTGTTCTTACTCAAAAATCAGCAAGCTATTCATGAATATTCACTGCAAAGGGGGAATGCCGATTCCGTCCTCCTTTTCAGCTTCTGTGCTGTCGCCGTCTTGTAACTTGTTGGCACACACTTGAAGCACCTGCACAGAGAACGAACAAGACAGAAAATACACATTTCTAAGAGAAATCAGGCTGGAGGCCATTGCTAGTAGGTTGGAGGCCATCGCTAGTGAGGGGAGGCCATCGCTATTAGGTTGGAGGCCACCTTATAGGTTCTTTATGGTTCTTCTTTCTCAGCTGTTGGGATGATGCTGTGAGCATTGCTTCACAGAGTGGGCTTTACCATCATCGTGGCCATATCAGCAGCTCACGGAAGCCTTCAGTCACAAGCTGCTACACTGCGACACTTCGTGCCCAACCGAATCCTATCATTCGGAACCAAACATTCACTTCCTCTCAGTCCCTTTTTGGAGGTTCCGCACCTCCTCTAGGTTTGGGACACTGGAGCCTCAAACCATCGCCACTCGCTCGACCATCCAACCGTCCAACCGTCCAACCCCAAAACCGGGCCCGTTCGCGAACCGGCGACACAGGTCGCGTTTCTTCGCGTTTCGTCGCTTCCGAGGCAAAAAACGGGTACTCGGTGCCTTGGGAAACTCCTTTGAAGCGATGTGCGAGACTTGTGATCCGCCATGGCCATCGAAGACCGCGAAGAGCGCCTCCGGGGGAAGGAACCCGGTGCCCGACGACGCAGAGGAAGGCGGATCAAGAGAGCGGCAGAAGCGGCGAAACGTGTGAAACCGGACCGTCCGACACCGCAGGACGTCCCGTCCGAGACCAACGGCCCGGCCGGTTCCTCCCCGCTACACGACTTGGGTGGGCGAAAAAGAAAAGAACGATCTCGACAAACAGATCAGGGCCCACAAACTGTTCTGTTTAATCCTTCCCTATATGTCTATCTCTAAATACCCTATAACTATAAGCCTTAAAGCCTGAATTAGCTAACTAACCCTGTCTCTGCTGATCTGTCCCTCCTGATCTGCCAGCGGTTCCGGCAGGGACTCGACGACGCAAGTGGCGTCCTGGCCGCCGGACTCCACGTAGCGCTGGCATCGCGCGCGGCGATGCGAAGCCGCGCTGTGCGCGGCCCAGAGGAGTGAGGCAAAGGTTCTCTCATGACCCTCCTGCAAACCTGGCTTAAAAGCAACAACAACAACAGAGACCTTGGATTTTGAGAGACGAGTTAAAACACATGAACAACTTATTGGAGCAAAGCCACAAAATGCCTTGACTGAAGGCAGTCTATTTATTGAGGGTTCCTTGCTCAGCTGGGGCATCTAGGACCTCTATAGGATCTCTAAGATACGCTTGCTCGCGGTGAAATCCATGGAGCACCCCAGCCTCCATGGCAGCTCGCCATCCTTGCATCTCGCAAACAGCCCATTCCAGGCTTTCACTCTTTCCTCCTGTCAGCTTTGATCAGGTCTTTTCCACCATAAAATCAGCCCCACCCACACTACCCCCACACCCCGAGAAGGACATACACATGGAAGGATCAAACAAATCCAACTGCTCCTGGAAAAGCA